ATAAAAAGTCTATTTACTAATATTATAGTCTTAAGTCAAATATTTTTCATCTGATCCATAGTATTCTCTTCTAGAAATAATATCTATCTCATTGGGCTATTTTAAGTTTTTAATAAGATAAGGCATAAAAAGGTCTTGGCACTGGGCTGTCACTTAAATGTGTGCTCAATACTCAGTATTTCTTTTATTGTAACTAGTTATTAGCAAAAATTACTAGTGTCTGTTCAGCATGCATGCACTTTATAAAGGTAGAGACAACATGAGAGAAAAAGAAATAGTCTCTGTCCTCAACTGAAAATAATGAATTTTATCAAATGAGTAAATATCCTAGATCGGTGACTGTCTACATGGACTATACTTTAGTATCATACACTATAGAGTAAAACAAAAATCTTATTTTTAAGCAGTTCACCAATGACTTAAATGTCTCATCAAGTTGAAGAATCAGTGTACTAGATGAATACTTACAAAAAATATACTCATAGAGAAATGATTATAATATATGAATTATACATGGTGATATGATTCTTATACTTAAGCAGGCTTTTTTATTTATCTCTGTGTTTGCTTTCGCTTTTGAGTTTTATAACACTAACAATGGCCACCTCCTCGTGTCACTTTAAATACTACCTATCTCTCAGCTCCAAACATATCAATTTATTGCATTAAAGCCTTCTTCGGTTTTTCCATCACACAGTAAAGTCTCGCTCTTCTGAAATCCTAGAGCAAGGGTCAACAAATATTATTCTCCAAAATGCCGGAGAGTAAATATTTTAGGCTTTGCAGGCTTAGTTGCAACTACTCAACTCTGCCCGGTAGCAAGAAAGCAGCCACAGAATATATTGAAACAAACTGATGGCTGTATTCCAGGAAAACTTTATTTGTAAAAACAGGCAGTTGGCTAAATATGGCCCAAGAGCTATAGTTTGTCAACCTCTATTGTAGAAAATCATTGCTCTCTACCATTTATTTTGACACTTAATCTTACTCTGGATTGTACCTTTAGTACATACATAGAGTTTATCTCTGAATTAGTCTCCTCAGGGGGTCAGGAAAGATGTCTTATACATATTTTTTTTCAGGTCTCTATGCAGAGTACTTCATATAGCAATGCTCAATTATTTACTGATTGAAGTTGATTTAAGATGTGAGAGTTAAGAGCCAGCTGCCCTTAGCATCTTACATGCATTGAAACTTCTCCTAAAGCGTTGACTCTTGGGGTTCTCTAAGGGACAGCCTCACTTTGCTGTCTTTATTCTCTCTGTAATGAATATAATCTATCCTTTCTTTTTTCCCCATTTGAGACCATATTGTATTTTCCGCCTTATTATTATTACCTGTCATGGAAATGGCCAGGTAGATGCCTATCGCAACATAATCTGGCCCCCGTAGCTGCTTATGGCTACACTAGCTGCCTTTCACAAGAGTGCGTAGTCAGGTAACTGCCTGTCACAATAGTGTCTGCCTGTCCCAGCAGTGGAGGCCTCCAGAGATAGTGCCCAGCCGGGAAGCTGCCTCTGGTGACAGGAGCTGCACAGTGTGATATTGCCCAGTAGGGTAGCTGCCTGTAACAATATAGTCCCCCCCCACAGCTGCAAATTATGAGATTTAATGGATTCCAAGGGAATATGTGTGTGTGTTTTTTAATTGAATTTACTAGGATTCCATTGGTTATTAAAATTATATAGGTTTAATGTAATAATGAGGATTAGAAATACTACATATAAAAGACCAAGGCCCTGTTGGGTGTGGCTCAGTTGGTTGGAGCATTGACCCATACATACCTACACCAAAAGGTGACAGGGTCGATTCCTGGTCAGGGCACATACCTAGGTTGCAGGTTCCATCCCCAGTAAAGGTGTGTATGGGAGGCAACCAATGGATGTTTCTCTCTCTCTCTCTTTCTAAATATCAATAAAAAATAAATAAAAATTTAAAAAATAAAAGATCAAGCACATAGGGGACATGTAAATGGTATCAATAATTATGTTGGCATACATTTTATGTCTTAATATGAACAAACATCTCTAAGTCAAGATAATAGAATGATTCTTGTCTTTTTCTTTGTGGTAGCTTTTAAATGTGCTTCTGTGCACTACTATATCTAAATGGAAAGTAAGGAATGTCCATTTAAAATTCCCTTGGGATGTAGTCTCAATTAACATCACTAACTTTGTAGCTAAGTGAAAAATTCAGCACTTAAATATTTTTGCAGCATCACTACCAGTGCTTGAATGTGCCAAGAAACAGAGTTTTGTCCATATTGGGAAGACTCACATTACTGTGAAGTCAATAAGTGCTTATTGTTGTTGCTTTATAAATCTCCTAACTGGTTCAGGCTGCAAACAGCAATATTATAACTCATAAATACTTGTGCACAGAAGAGAATTCCTCAAGAATAGGGCTCTGCCCAAAAAAGGTAGAGAAAAAAAGCAAAATAATTATGATTACCATTTATTGGTTACTGACATTATTTGCTCTCCAACAACAACCCCATGATACAGATTTTATTGTTTACCTTTTAAAAAATGAATACACCAGAGCCCTGAAGGTTTATATATCTTGATTTTGGTTAAACAGTTTGGACATAACTAAGTCAAAATTCCATCAAGTTCTATCTTTCTACAAAGTCTCTGATCCAACATATGACACTGAGATGGAGGAAAAAGGAAAAGAGAAAACTAATGAGTGAATAAGACTATAGGAAGAAGATGACATTGGAGATCTACAAAAAGTCGACTGAAGAACAAAATTTGCTTAACCTTGCTTTGAGAATATGTTCTATTATTTGTGTGACTCAAGACTAAAAGGAGCTTGTATTATTCCCAGTTTTCTCTCTAATATCTAAAATGGTGTCTGGACACAAATTTGAAAGAATACATGCACCCCTATGTTCGCTGCAGCAGTATTTACAATAGCCAAGATATGGGAGCTATCCAAGTGCCCATCAATAAATGATAAAAAGTTATGGTACATACAGACAATGGAATATTACTCCGTCATGAAAAAGAATGAAATCGTCATGGCCAATGTGATCCAGTGATTAGAGTGTTGGCCCACAGACCAAAGGGCCATGGGTTCAATTTCTGTGCAAAGGCACATGCCTGGGTTGCAGGTTCAATGCCCAGCCCCAAATAGGGCAAGTGCAGGAGGCAATCAATTGATGTGTCTCTCTCACATCAATGTTTCTCTCTCTCTTTCCACACCTCCCTCCCTCCTTTCCACGCTCTAAAAATCAATGGAAAAAAAATCCTCAGATGATGATTAAAAAAAAAGAATGATTTCTTACCATTTGCAAATTTGTGACAACATAGATGAACCTAGAGGATATGCTAAATGAAATAAATCAAACAGGGAAAGACAAATACAATGTGATTTCACAAAAATAATCACAGGGATGTGAAGTGCAGGATAGGAAATATAGTCAATAATACTGTAATAACTAGGTATGGCACTGAGTGGGTACTGGAAACACTGGGAGGAACGCTTTGTAAAGTATATGATTCTCTAATCACTATGCTTTAAACCTAAAACTAATATAAAATAATACTGAACGAAAACTGTAATTGAAAAATAAAATAAAATGGTATCTGGAGTACAGTGAACGAATAAATAGTTGCTAAACAATAATTGGATTCTATGACTTGAAATATGTCAGAGGCTTTATTTAAAATTCCACTTCACTGAAGAAATGACATATATACATCAACGAGAATTCACCAGGCCCTGTTCTGTCCATGCATCAACAGCCTGGGACTTCCACAGAATCCCGCCACACCATGCATACTCTTCCCACTGTGCAACTAGCACTGAAGGGGTCATATTCTTTTTTTTTTTTCATTAGCCAGACAAATACTTATTGTAAATTTTCATAAAGTTAATATATAATTTATAATCAGAGAAATGCACAGTTAAGTGTACAGTTTTAGTTTGACAAATATATACACCTGTGTATATAATCCACATGCCCATTAACATGTAGACGATTTCTATCATCTTAGGAAATTCCCATCATCCCAGAAAATTTACTTGTGTTACCTGTGGCCGTTCCAGCAACCCCACCCCACAAAACCTCTTTTTTTTAATTGAATTTATTGGGGCAACATTGGTTAATAAAATTATATAGGTTTTAGGTGTACAATTCTATAATACATCATTGGTGTACTGTATTATGTGTTCTCCACCCCAAGTCAAGTCTCCTTCCATCACATCACATTATGGACTTATCATTCGTTCAGTCCCTCCTGGTTTTCTAGCCTCTCTGAGTCTGCAATCAGCCACAAGGCCATTATTCTCTCTAAGCTTCCTAGTTCTGTTCCAGATGCATCCTCTAAACAATAAGGAAGCGTATCATTCTGCTCATTCTCATTACAGTTGACTAGTCTGTTTGTTTTTTAACATTTCTCAAACTTCCTCTCTCTGGAATCTCTTAAAACCCACTGCATCACTGAATATCTTAAAATACTACTATTGAAAATGTACATTGTGGTTAATAGGTTCAAATCCAGATCCCTCCACTGACAAGATGTATAACCTTGGGTAAGATCCTTAAACTTCTGTGCCCTAATTCCTTCATCTGTAAAATGAGGGTCATAAGGCTTTGAAGATTAAATTAGTTAAAGCATGTAAAATGATGCTTCACATATTGAAGTGCTCAATAAAAGCAAGCTATTTTTATTCAGATGGTCTATCTATGGCTTAACCCAATAGGCACTTCTTTGGTCCAGAATCTCTAAACTCATTTATTATACACATACACATGGCATGTTTGTCACTTTACCTGCTATGGTACTCATCTACAAAGGTGGATAATTTTACTGAGTGGCTGATTTTTAATTGTAACCAAAATTTAAAGTTGTTTTCTTTCTTCCCCTCCTTTCTTTCAGTGGTTTATTCAGTTATTCATTACACAGAGGGCCACAGAGAGAAAAGGTTCAGCCATGAGATACCAGTGGGTTCTGCCACAGGTGGATTCCCCCACACACACCTCTGTTTCTCACCTTCTGACCTCATCTGAAAAGGGGTGGCATGGATGGTTGGTTGAGTTATGAACAAGAGTCCAAACATTTATATTCATAAACGGTCATTTCGTCCTTGAACTATACTGTACATTTCTTGGCCTTCCTGAACGCGAATGCCTCCAGAAACACGGTGATCCTCAGAAAGAGCTTAACCAGGTCATGTAAAGAACAGGTAGAAAAACAGAATGTTAGATTAATAGAGAAAACATAAACATGTGAGCTGTCACCACATATGTACAGGTTGTCAATCAACCCAAAAAGGGATTTATTTTCTGTGGCCCCAGAAAGCTGAGTAAGGCACCTACGTAGAAGCAGTAAGAACTGTCACAACTGTAACTGGTTAAAAAGGCCAGGCTGCCTCCGTGTTCATATTAAAGTAAACAAAGATGCCGAAAAAACAGTACATAAAAGTGAAAACAGATGTCCTCTAAATTCCTTGAAACTCCATAATCCACCAAAGTGCTAACGGATATGCAGATATGAATACCTTATTATTGCTGTCACCCAGAAATTGGTAGTATATGAAGAAACTGAAGACTTACACAAATGCAACTGTAATAAAATGGTTAACACAAATAAGACAGACTACAAATGCAATGTTACTGAAATTTTAGAAAAGCGTCCTATCTAGGGGCCTCAGAGGAAATTTGAAGGCAGTGTTTAAACTCAGCTTGAAGATGAGATTAAAGTTAAGTATGGAAATAGAGAGAAGTCAGGGCATTTCAAGATAAAAGAACAGCATGACCAAAGGCACAGTGGCATGAAGATGAATGAGGCACAGGGAACAGTTCGATTTGATCTGACGATGAGGGCAGTGGGAGAGGAGCCCGAGAAAGCTTTTTAGAAAAACAAGGACTGAAACGTTGGTCCTCAGACCTAGGTAATGGGAGTCACCAAAGTGTTATTTACATGTAGGTAAGAGAGAAGCACTTCAGTTAGAGCCTCTGGTGGCACAGACAGAATTAACTTGTACAGTGAGAGACTAGAAGTGAGAAGATCCTCAAAAAGACTACAGCATGACTCTAAGAAATATGTCAAAAGTGCTGGACTCTGAAGACATCAGAAAATAGGATATGCAAATGTGAAGTTTTAGCAGCTGACTGTGAGAGATAAGGCCAAGAGGGGTAGGGTTTCAAAAGCTTCCAGACTCAAATGCTATAAAATAGTAAGACCAATAGCAGCAAAGGGGAAAACAAAAGGAAGGGAGACACAGAAAGCTCAGAAGAGACCACAGGGTGCTGGAGGTGTCAGCCACAGGAAAGGGGAGCTGTCCAGCAAGGCGTCTGGAAATGTCAGCCTAGAGATTACGTGAAGGTCAGGGCTGAGGCTAATGACTCCAGTTATTCCTACTAAGGTGAAAGCCAAGGCCAAGAGAGGGTGAGTTTTGCCAGGCGATACTATACGCAAAAGCAAAACTCAAAACAGAAACTGAGGAACACACACTTTAGTGAGCAGGAGGTGAAAGGAGAGCCAACCAAGCTGCAAATGAGAGTCAGAGAAGTAAGAAGAGAACACAGAGGGCAGAGAAGCCAAAAGAGGAGTCTGAGAAGCAGCGGGTGCCCATATCGCCAAAGGCCGTTGACGGTTTAAAGCAAAGGAAGGCTTGGAGCCTAGGAAATCCATGATACCTGATTATTAAATGTTAATACTTACATATGCCTTACAAGAAAGAACGTATTGCTTCAAATCAAAGTATTTTCACATGAGATTTTTTTTAATCCTTTGAAGGAAAAGCAAAACAATTTCTTATTTGAAGATACTCTGCTCTCAGCGATACTTTCCTTAGCATTCTCAATTTTGATCCTGTTGGCCAGTAGCTAGTACTAGTCTTCCAAGGGGTACATTTAAAAGTAGGGGCAGTTTAGGTAATTACAATGACTGAGAGGAAGCTATCAGTATAAGGAGAACACAGGCCATTGGCACCAAATGTTCTCTAATGAAAGAGTCATGCATTTCCACACAATGAAGAGGTGTCTGCCAAAAATACCAAGTGTCATCTGTTGAGAACACTATCACATGATGCTGTTTATCACTAAATGCATCTTTGGCATATTTGAGAAAAATTGATAGGACTTCAGATTCTGGCATGTTGGAGAACCGATTTTAAAATAAGGTAAATATCATTAACATAGCTCATCCCTTAAAAGCAGTTCAAGCAAACATATGTCTTTTAGTTTTACTGTTTATTACTATCTAATCTAGTTATGAAAGAAATGAGGCTTTAAGTAAATTATTTAGTAGAGCAGCTTTTTAAAAATAAATTATAATTATTCCACATATTAGCTCTAATCAGAATCTGAGTGGGGGTATAGACGGTTAAGAATACATTTCATTGTGTTATTAGGTGAGGAAACAACCAATGTTTGAAATAAAATGCTTTCTAAAAAACACCACCATTTTATACAGATCTTTATCTAAACAACTGCATTCTCTTGCACTCACCACTCATACTAAATATTTTCAATTTAAAATTGCTGCTTTAATGACTAATATTACCAAGAATACATCACCAGTTTAGATCATTAAAACACATACATTTTTGTGGGACTACTCTAACTGCTCAAAACTTTTAACATCTTTACATCAGCGTTCTTGTAGCCGTCACTCAAATGCCCTGTAAGAGTTTCATGAACTCACTTAAGGTTTGGTGAATATTAATGAGAACATATGCAAGGCAGTTTTGGTATTAAGAAAGGAAAATTATTTCCAAAAATATATGCATCCTTTATTAAACTGATATTTATGAATAACACTGATATTTATGAGTATGTTTCTGAATGTCTGGAGCACCCAAACACCCATTAGTCTAGCTCAAGGTGAACTAGTTTTATTATAGTCAAGTTCAATTTGTTTAAGTTGTGGTTAATTTTTTCCAGTGTTCTTGATTATTACAGTTTATACTTAAAAGCGCCTAACCTCTCTTGTTTACTAACTGCCAAATATGTGTGGTAAAGGTTATTTCTTCCTAGACAATGGTCCATATTAGATTATTCTCTCATATTATGATAGTAGGTGGCAAGTAGACTAGGTACCAGGGTTCACCATTTAAGGGGCCTATTGAGGAAATGACGCTTTCTCTATAAATTTCTCTAGAAGTTAAAAAAAAATAAGTTCTATTACTTAGTGTGTAGTTGCTTCCTAACACATTTCCTAATAGCTTTGATTCAAACAGTGTTGAAAAGCCTGTGACAAACCAAGATGACCTCTCAGACAATGACAGTCCATTTAGCAGTTTATTCTACAATCCAACACTGTAACCCCGGGGATCCAATGGGAAACTTGTGTTTCAAAAGTTTCCCAAAAATCTGTTTAAAAGAATAAGCCAGTGATCCCTGTAACAGTCTAACAGACATAAGGTCAAATATTTAATACCTAACACTAGCTACCATGTATTGAGTTATTTCTAAGTATTTTACAGACATTATCTTATTTAATCTGTACAACCAACACACAAAATTGATTATGATCCTCTTTTTACACATGAAGAAACTCAAACTCAGATTTAGACAGGTTTCTGCACAGGAAGAACCCAAACTTTAGAGAGGTTTAGCAACTTGTCCTACCTAGTAAGCAGCAGAGCCAAGATCAAAGCCCTGATAGGCCAAACTTCAGAGCCCTCTGCCCTGTCCTGCCCCAGAGACCTTGGGCCCACAGGGGCTCCCAGATGAAACACACATGGTCTCTATTCTCAAGGACCATATCACCTAGAAAAAGAGAGAACATCTACCTAAATAACTATGATTCCAGGTAAAATATATAAACTGGCCATAGAGTGTTCCAGATCAAGTTACAGGGCAGTTCAGATGAACACAGATTTCTTGAAAATAAAGGAACCTGGGGCAAATTTTCTGTGGGATGGATTGTAGGGAAAGAAGAGAGATAAAAGGCATAAAGAAACACAACTAGTATTACTGCATGCCATTCTCTTTGTCAGGTAAAGTAGAAGACACCTTACATGTGTTATCTTCTTTGTTCCGAAAAACCATACAAGTATTAGACCACATCACATAAAACCAAGTCAACCAGTGGCTTAACTGAAATTTGAACCCAGAAACGCTGAAGATAATCTTTCCTGTTTTGTTTGTTCCATTTTGAGTACATTTCGTTTTTATGTTTATAGGGGATAAGCGCCTTTTGCTAATTTGTCATCCCAAAGAAAGAATACTTTTCTAAGTCACACAAAGTGACCAGATGACTAATCACAGGACAAGGCAAAGGAATCCTCAAAAGAATCCCAGCTATTCTGTCCCCAGGGCAGAACTTCTGTGGGATTCCTGACAGAGTTAGAGTAGCGGGCAGGAAAGCAGGCTCACTCTCGTTTTCTTTCCTCCTTCTGCCCTCCATTTCTGTTTTCTTCCCTCCTTCCTTCCTTCAGTTTTTCTATAATCAGTTCAGAACTCTTATGTGCCAGGCACTGCACTGGGAATGGAGAACATGACAAGATCCCTGCCCTCATTCAGCTTCACTCAAGGCAGAAGCTGGACTACTTACTGGTTAAAGACAGATGCCCAAGTGCTTGTCTCAGGCTCAGCCCCTTGGTAACTGTGCTATTTGAGCAAGTTACTTAATTCTCTGTGCCTAGATTCCTCTTCTGTAAATGTGGATATTGACAAAACAACCTCACTGGGTGGTTAAGGGTATAAAAGGAGTTAATAATATACAGAAAGTGGCAACACCATGCCTGGAACATGGTGAACATTATAGAGACGTTTTTATAATTACTGTACTCTTCTTGGCTTCTTAGAGTGAGAAGATTAGTCTGTCCAAAGCCTGGAAGATATTGCAGCTCCAGTCTCTACTCTCAAAAAGTAGAAATCAATTCATTGGCAAAGATAGTGTTCAGGGAAGGAGTGTCCACCCCCCAGAGCTCAAAGAAAATCCTCCCTATGTGTTTGCACAAGGTCACTCTCAATGGGCCAAAAAAAGGGACTGAACACACAAGTTTCTAAGGCAAGATACCCTTCTCAAATTTGCCTATTAGCAGATCTTACAAACATTTCCTAGACTGCTAAAGCCCTTCCAAGTTATTTGGAATGAATATGTGTCCCACTGAGAAGGAAATGGCTGAAAGCAAATAGGGCAGGAGGAAGATAAGTTGAATGACTACATATGAACTTTTTGAGAGCAGAATTCCAACCTCATTCATCTAAGTAAGCACAGTTTAGTGTCTGGAATGGTTTTAGGGGTTTTAAAACAGCCAGTCTCTATTTTAGGTGTTTTCCATATACTTTATTTCTCACAGTAGCACCTCATGGTAGGTACCACCAATCCCATTTTCTGGATAAGAAAACCTGAGGATGAGATTGTTAAATAATTACAACCTTACAAAATGCAGAACTGAGCCTGAAATCTGGGTCTAACTCTAAAGTTAGTTACTTTTTTTCCCTGTGAATGTATCAAACAAAATGTTCGGTGAAAGAATGGGACCAAAAACAAATGCAGGATACTTCCTCTTTTATTTCAGACCCATGATCCAAAAATATGACTCTGGATAAAGGATATTTCTTTAGGTCACTTGCTGTCCTTCCCTTTAGGAGGGCTCAAGGCCAAAAATATAAGCCTGATAACATAAAAGAGTAAATGCATGTCTGGAAATAAACTCAGCATTTAGGGGAAGATGCTCTAACTGGACGTTGGGAAAGGAGGTGTTAAAATTTCAGATTACTTACCACTATTAAAACACTCCCTGGAGGAAAGAGGCAGTACCTAATTGCAAACTGTTGATTTGAATTTTGAAAAAAACAGCGTTGGACTTCACGAGTTAGTATACAAAACATGGAGTTGCTTAAAGTAAATAATGTTTCCCTTTCACGGAGATCACTCAATTGCCTGCTCCCGTAGATTGCTTCAAACGCAATGTCAGAAGCAGAAAGTGGAGCCGGGGCTGCTCGGCCAAGGTTAAGGAGAGTCACCTTGCGCGAAGCTCACCTGCTCTCTGCAAGGCACCAGCACCCCGCTCAGATTTTGCAGCCCCGCTTCCCCAGATGCAAACTTGAGTCGGTGCGGTTCCAATGACACAGCACAGCGCGGCCTCGAGAGCTCTCAGCCTGTGCTGAGCCATAAAGCACAGGATGCCAGGAAAGGGCATCTAGGGCCCACTGCTTCCTCTTGCCCAGGCTTTTTCATAATCTCCCTCCTCAAAGTTTCCTACTTTATCCCTCTGACGCGTCTCATCAGATCCAGGAAGCGAGGAGCTGAGCACTGGTTTTCCCACTTCCACCAGCGCGCTCTCACTCAGCCCCGCCGGCTCAGCCCCGCTTCTGCAGGCGTGTGGCAGACACTAGGGAAGCCGCCCCATTTCCTGTCGGACGGAGAGTGTGTGTGTGTGTGTGTGTGTGTGTTTTGTTTTTTGGGGTGTGTGTGTGTGTGTGTCTGTGTGTCTGTGTGTGTGTGTGGGTGATTTTAACATCCCTGGCGCAGCCCGCAAGGGGCCCTGCTCGTGCCACCGGGACCGGGGCAAGCCCCCCGCGGAAGCGCGGGTGAGGGCGGATGGAGAGAGCCGCTGCGGGGCGGCGTCCGCTCGGAGGCGGCCCTCGGCGACCGAGCC